TTTTATAGCATTGTGGTCTGAGAAGATGCTCTGTAGAATTTTGATGGTTGTGAATTTATGGAGGCTTGCTTTGAAACCTAACACGTGGTCAATTCTGGAAAATATTCCATGCGCACTGGAGAAGACTGTATTGTGTGCCATTGTTGGATAGAATACTCTGTGTACATCTCTGAGGTCCAGATGGTTGATTGTGTTGTTAAGTGCCTCTGTAGCATTGTCAAGTTTCTTTCTGGTTGTTCTATCCCTTTTTTATAGTGCTGTGTTGAAATCTCCCACTGTAATTGTGGATTTATCTATTTCTTTCTTCGATTCCATTAAGGTTTGCTTCACGTATCTTGGTGCTCTTTCGTTGGGCGTATATGTTTATTATGGTTATGTCGTCTTGCTCAATTGACCCTTTGATCATGAGATAGTGACCTTCTTTGTTTTTTGTTGCAGTTGGCTTGGTAAATTTTTTTCCATCCTTTTTAACTTTTAATCTGTTTTTGTCTTTGAGTGTGAGGTGTGTCTCTTGCAGGGCAGTATATTGATGGATCTTGTTTTCTTATCCATTCTGCCACTCTGTGTCTTGTCACTGGTGCATTCAATCCATTGACATTCAATGTAATTATCGATGAGTATGAATTGATTGCTGTCATTATGTTACTTTTTTGGCGGTGTTGTTCGTTCTTTGGTTCCGCTTTTCCTTCTTGTGTTGGATTTGTGTTCTTTGTGTTCTTTCTTGTCGGTTTCTTCCTAGTTTCTCTGTTAGCTTGTTCTGCTTGGGAATTCGTTTTTATGATATGTTGTGGAGTGTTAACTTTCTTTGGGGTTGCCTTGTAGTCTACTCCATTGTAACCTGTAATTTACCTGGCATCCCCACCACCTGGGCGTCTGTTGCTGCTTTTGTCCCTTCTTTGACATTGAGTCCCTTGAGTTTGTTGTTGGAGTCTCGTTCTGTTCTGGACTCTGTTGTCTGTTCTTGTTGGTTCTCCATCCACAGAACTCCCTTTAGGATGTTTTGAAGTACTGGGTTGGTTTTGATGAACTCTCTCAGATTCTGTTTATCCTGGAATGTTTTGATCGCACTGCTGTTTTTGTCTCTGATTGTCAGTTTTCTGCATGTGCCCAGCGCCAATCTTGGGATGGGTGAGACCTGTTCTGTTGGGTTTTTATAGATTGCCTTGAGTTTGTCCTGCCCAGCGAACTCAGGCAGCCGTGTGTGGGTTGCCAGATTGATAGCTGGAGATTTTAATCTGTTCCCCAGGGAGAGAGGTTGCATGTCCCGCCAGAACAATAGCTGGAAGATCATGTTGCTACCTGGGCTGGCTTCAGATTTGTGGCAGTGGCGGATGATGTCAAAAAGTCGCTGCCCCTCTCCCTCTGCCGTGGCTAAACTGTCTTGCCTGATGTCCGCGCTGGGATCATAATCTGGGGCAGGGAGATTTTTGGGGGGAGTTGTATCGCTTCTTGTGGTTTTGTTTTGTTTTTTTGCTGGAAACCCCACTTTCTGAACGGGCTGGCTTTAGCCCCGCCCTCTAAGCTCTGCAGTGGCGGGGTAGTCGTGGGATCTCCCACAGGTCCATGGGTGAGAGTTTTAAGATACCCGTAATGCCCATAATTTCCTCAGTAGTGTGATTTTTCAAAAATGCAAGTTGGGAGATTGAAGCATTAGGTCTTATGATAGTTCGAAGGCTGTGGGTTTGCTATATTAAAGTTTCCTTCGTGAGATCCCCCTCCCTTCTCCCCGGAGCTTTCCTTACCTGGCTCTCCTGGCAGCAGCGTGCAGTCAAGTTGTTTGACTCACAGTGACCCTGTCTGTATAGGGTTTGAGGAACAGCTGGTGAGTTTGAACCTCTGACCTTGTGGTCCAGCACTTATCCTACAGTGCCATACCAAGACTCCTCTTTGCCCTCTAGAGGTCTCAGATACTGTAGTCCCACTCCCCCATCCCTTTCTCCCTACTCACAGGAAGTCTCCAGAACTCCACGTCAAAGGCTGACACCACGCAACTTGTGACTTCACAATCAGGACCCCTTCATCCTGTTAACAAGATAGCAACAAGTAAGTACATTCTCTCTAGACGCCCTTCTCCCTTCCCCCCAGCCCCGAAAACCTTCAACACTATGATGTCTGCCTGTGTGACCTTAATTAACCCATATACTTAGCCTCCTTGGCCCTCAGTTGCCTGACTCTGGACTGGGTGCTATATGGTAGTCAAAACTGAATAACGGACCCAAGAGGACTAAGCTAGAAACATACCCCCATTAGAGTTTCCCAGGTTGGAGATCTTTACGGAGGCAGACTGCCACATCCTTTTCCCAAGGAGTAGCTGGCGGGTTCAAACCACTGACCTTTCTGTTAGTGACCAAGCACTTAATTATTGCACCACCAAGGCTCTGTATTGGTGTTAGTACGACCTTATCTGCAATTTCAAAATCCTGGAAGCTCTAAAAATAGAACTGTTTTTCCTAAGCTTGGTACCGAAGTCTAATCGGAACTAACAATAGAGAATTCATTCCTTTGTTGCAGAAACTTTTCATTATTAGATCACTAAGTGATAGGCCCAGACATAACTGGAAATGATATGTAATAGGCAACATAATGCAATATGAACAAACACAGCATGTGACCTCTTGAAACCCCAGATCTGGATTCTAAATCACAGCTGGCCTAATATTTGGGAATAAATATTTACAAATCTGAGCCACCTTCTTCATTGGGCCTTGGAGAGGATTAAATGAGATAAAGCTGTTCTGCCCAGCTGGTATCTAACAACAATCATAATTTCTCTACTTCATGATCAACCCAGGTATGGGTCAGGCACTGCGCCTATGCTCCCGTTCTAGGTTCCTTCTCTTTTTTCCTTACTTTCCCAAGGACCAGGGTTTGGTAAAACAAGTAGCAGAAAGAGCACAAGCCGCAACTCCTACTTAGAGAATTTACTGGCTGTGTGTCTTTGCATAAGTCCCTCATTTGTTAAAAGAAGAGATTGCACCAGATGTCCTCAAAGGATTTTCTAGATGCACCCAGTCAGCTTCCTTGTAAAGTCCCAGGTTTCCTCCCTAGAGCTGGCGTCCAGGACCGAATTCCCATTCTCTTCTAGAATTCTAGCGCCATCTAGTGACCACTGGCTTTTCATTTCCTCTCATCTGTCCTTGTTACTACTCCATGTCTCTCTAAGGACCAAAGCAAGCTCCTGCCATCACCTTCTTTATGGAGAGACTCAGCTCTCTGGAGCAGTCAGAGGCATATTTTCAACAAAAATAGTGTTGTGAGCACTCATTATTCCAGGCACTTCATACTTGTTTCATGCCATTAATCACTAGAAATGTCGTATCATCTGCACTTCGCATATGAAGAAACTGAGGCTTGCAGACTCTAAGAGTCATGCCTGAGGCCTTACAGTTTTGAAGGGATGGAACCTGGATTTGAACCTAAATGTGCTTGATTCCAAATGTATTGGAGATCCGTTTTCTCACATGTGTTGGTTGGTGGCAGGCTACTTAATCTGCCTGGGCATTTGTCTGCCCCTAGTGGGAGAAGATCAGACTCCTCTGGGTTGCGGAGGAAGGGGGGGTGCCATGAGGATGTTGGGGGTGAGGGATGGGATGTCCAGCTAGAACAAGGTTCTCAACTGTGCTGCAGGTTAACATCACCTGGGAAGCTTCTAGTAACTCCATGCCAAGTTACAACTCAGACTGCCCAGGCTCTGGGAATGGGAACCAAGCACTGGTTCCCACTCCTGGTTACAACTCCTGGTACAACTCCTGGTACGCCAAGTCTGAGGATAATGCGGAGGACCATGGTTCTCACTCACATTGTCCCCTACATCTGAATCACCTGGAAGGTGGTGTTAAAGCATGGTGCTGGGTCCCACCCCCAGAGTTTCCAGCTTAGGAAGTCTGGATGGGGGCCAGAAATCTGTACTTCTCATAAGCTTCCAGGTGGTGCTGATGCTGCAGTGTGCTTAGAGAGCCACTGCTCTGGGGGATTCTAGGCTCTCCTGTCTGCCAGTAGGGTGAATGGGAGGTGGAGGTCTGCTATCAGCAGCAAACTGATGGGCTCTGTCTCCCCGCCACCCCGCGGCACTGGTTCTTGTGCTAATGTGCATCAGAGCCCTGCATTGGAGACAGGTCCATCTTCTGCCAGATGGAGGTGCTGAGTCACTACTGCTCCATCCCCGGCTACCACCGGCTCTGCTGTGAGTCCTGCACCAAGAAGGAGCCCAGCCTGGCCTCACCACCAACCTTCTCCACCCCAGGGAGCCCTCTCCAAGGACCTCAAACCCTTCCAGATGCTGTGGAGCCCACCACAAGGTCACCAGAGTCAGATGGTCATCAGTCTGATCTAACCACAGGGCTTCCAGAACGTCTAGACACAAGCTCCTCTGTGACCCCACAATACTCTGTCCCCCAGAAACTGAGCACTCAAGCAACCGGGGGCACCTCCCCTACCACTCTCCAGGGGTTGCCTTGGGGCTGGACCGAGGCAACATTGCCAGCCTCTGAGGATAAAGGGCAGCTCAGGGAAGACCGGAAACCTCCAGGCACCGAGGGCCCCACCACCTCTCTGGTGACCTGAGCTGCCTGCCCTATTCCACCAGCCAAGGTGACAGACCCCACCTGGGCAGCTGCCAGCAAAGGCTTTGAAGTTATTTGCCTTCTTGTTGTTCTTGTTAGGGGCTGCAGCATGCTTCCCCCCATGAAGGATTGTTGTTGTTGTTGTTGTTAAGTGCCGTCGAGTCGGTTCCGACCCATAGCGACACTGTACAGGATAGGAGGAAGGAAAAGATCAGGGAAAGCCCTAGCCTGTGATACCTCAGCAAGCAGTCCCCAGCGACAGAGTTGAGCCTTTCGTGTGTCCTCTTGTCACAACAGCCAGGCCTGGTCACTTTCACCAGAACTTGTGGGGACCCTGTGGAGAAAGGTAAAGTGAGGCCAGGGAAGATGGAGGAGGGATCTTCCAGGGCCTGAGACGAAAAGGGGGCTAAGAGGGCAGGAAGGCATGTTCATCTCAGGCCCAACTCTGGGGGCCAAGGCCAGCGAGCAGAGTCCAGCTTGCCGTGGCTGGTTAGAGGGCAGAGCTGTGGCCCTGGAGCTGTCACTCCTCTTACTGTTGACTTCAGGCTATACAGGCTGGCCTCTGAGCAGGCCGGGCTAGGGGGCCCACCCCATTCCCTAGAGGAAGGGGCTCAGGACATTTGAAGCATATCCTTATCATTCAGGGGTTTCCAAAACGGTGCTTGACTCCTGGCTGAACCAGGAGTGACAACTCTCATCACTTTAGGACTTGGGGGAGCCCAGTCCAGGAAGTGATGGGGCACAGGAAATTTGGCCTCCTGGGCTGTGTCAGGTCCTTCCCACCATCTGCTGAAAAAATACTTCTCTTCTCTCCTCTGGCTCGAGAAGATTATGGTACGCTGAGGGGTGATCAGGGCTGAGGACCAAGGTGTCCACTCAGAGCATGGCCCTGCCGATGAGAAGCACCACCCAGCATGTGTCCAAGGCATGACTGGAGCCTCTGCATGATACTGGACCCAGGAAACCACTGCCCAACACACACCCCATACACAGTGGGGCCTCATGCTTGTCTGCCCACCATGTTACCTGTAAGGAAGGGACAGGTACCACACAGCAAGGCCCTCTGGCTCTCAGGAAGTTGCTCAGGCTCCTAAGATACCTCTGAGAAGTCCTCAATCCCAGAAGTTGTGGAGAGGGTCTCCCAGACAACAAAGGTGCTTTTATCGTTCCTGCCACAAGGGACCTGCTGCCTTCAGCTGGGGGTGGGGAAGGGGATTGTTTGGTGCTGGCTAGAGAAACTGGAACAATGGGGCCCCTTGGAGAAAAGAGCTCCCAGAGGGGACACTCCCAGGATTTCTTCAAGCTATCATCCCCTAAGAACCCAGCCTGGCCTGTATTATGTACAATGAGGATGCTCTACCCCTTTGCGATCAGGTGTTTTAAACATTGCATATTTATTAACATTGTCTTTGGTATTTTATTTCAGACCCCAAACAGTTGTGTTGTGCATGGGTGTTTACTTTTCAAAATCAATCTCTCAATGTGCTGGGCTATGGCAAGATTATTGGGGGTAAGAGATAAGGCAGGTAATTAAGAGGACTTAGCCCCCAGGCTCAGCCCCACACTCAGGTTCCTCTGTGTCAAGTCAATTCTGACTCATGGAGACCCATGTGTGTCAGAGTAGAACTGGCCTCCAGGGGGTTTCAGTGGTAGACTTTTCACAAGTAGATTTCCAGCCCTTTCTTCTGAGGTGCCTCTGGGCAGAGCTTGAATCTCCAACCTTTAAGTTAGCAGCCAAGCATTAATTACTGGTACCACCCAGGGCCTCCATGCACCTATTCTGACTCACGGTGAATCTGTATAGGGTTTCCCTGGTGGGAACAGAAAGCTTTGTACTTCTCCAGTGAAGTGGCTGGTTGGCTTGAACATCGACCTTGTGCTTCACGGTTCAGTGCTTCCCAACAGAGCCACCATGATCCCATACACTTAGTGTTCTGTGCCACTGAGTCCATTCTGACCCATAGTGACCCTGCATAGGGTTTCCAAGGAGCGGCTGGTAAGTTTGAACTTCCAGCCTGTGGTTAGCAGTCCAGCACTGATCCTGCAGTGCCAGCCAAGGTCTGTTAAGTGCCATCGAGTTGGTTCCAACCCATAGAGACCCTGTTTCCGAAGATTGGCTAGTGAGCTTGAACCACCCACCTTACGGTGCAGCACACCAGGACTAGAGTGGCTGAAATGAGAAAGTGTGACCACATCCAGTGTTGGGAGGATGAGGCTTCCTGCTCCAGAAGAGATTTGCAGCCTCAGAAACCCTCTGTTTAGGGCCACTAGGAGTTGGAATGGAGTTGATGGTACCTGACAGACCAATGGTGGCATATCCATACAGCAATTAAAAGGATCCAAGCGTGCCTGCGTAAATTAGATAAATCTAGAAAGATTCATGCCAGGCTCAAAAGACCACATGCAGTGATTCCACCTGGCAAATATTATGGAAATGCAAAACCATGGGGACAGAAACCAGATCAGCAGTTGCTGGAGGGGGCAAAGATTGAAGTGGGAAAGGGCACTTTGGGGGACATTGAGAATGTTCTACTTATTGATTTATAGTGGTGTTGGCAACAGTGTATATAGTCAAATATTATTAAACTACATTTTTAAATGAATTTCCATGTATGTAAATTACATCCCAGTTTTTTGTTTTTGTTTTAAACATTTAAATGCATAGCCTAGGTAATAGGAGGAGCTCTGTGGTTATGAGTCAGGCTACTAACCTTAAGGTCAGCAGATCGAAACTACCAGCCCTTCTGTGGGAGAAAGATGGGGCTTTCTGCTCCTGTAAAGATTTACAGCCTCAGAAACCCTATCCAGAGTCGTTATGAGTTGGAATCTACTCTATGGCACACCACCACCACCACTAGGTAATGGGAGATTGCCAGCCTGGGATCTGAGACATTGTAATGTTTCCCTAAAATATTCTAACGCCCACATTTAGACAGAGATTATTTTGATTCCCAGCATTATTAAATACATGGCGATACCTCTCTGAACCATAGTTCCCTCAGTTGTAAAATGGGGATAATTCTTACCCATTAAGATTGCTGGTAATTACTGAAGATGCTGAGTGATCTATAAGTCGTCATCATTATTGTTAGCTGCTGTTGAGTCTGGTCTGATTCACAGAGACCTGATGTCCATCAGAACAAAACACTGCCACGTCCTGCTCCAACCTACACGTGAGTCCAATGCTGCTGCCACTGTGCCCGTCTGTCTTCTTGGTGGGTCTATATACAACAAGAGGGAAGTTAGCAGAAGAATGAAGAAGACAGGTGAAGATCCTGGGAGGAATTAAAGGGTTAAACGTGATAGGGGCAAATGCTGTGGCACACACAACACTGCAACAACAATGTTCTACAGGTAGATACATAGATGCACAGGCTGCATAGGTATGGGAGGGAAAGTGGGAGTATCCCAAAAAGTAGATTAGGATTTGACAGAATATTGGTACATGGATATATACCCATTCTGAAAATACACCTTATGAATGTGGTAGAACATTGTTAAATGCTGTTGAGTCGGTTCCGACTCAGAGACTCTGTATAGGGTTTCCAAGGAGCAGCTGATAAGCATGAACCACTGCCCTTGTGGTTCAAACCAACTTTTCAGTACAGCTCATTAGCCCTCAGCACCACACCAGGACTCTCATGGTAGAGTATACAAGGGGAAAAATGATGAAAACTTGTAGGCATTACCAAACATCTTGAGGGCAATGAGTTGCGGTGCCAGGAACTGGCTGCCAGATGGCTCAAGCCAACCAAAAGAGGGGAATTAAAGTCAGACTCATATTTTGCCACTTTTTTTGTGTGTGTGATTGTAGATTGTGGTATCCCATTTCCCCACCCCCACCCTTTTTTTTTTTTTTGGTCCTTTTACCTTGGTGGGGGCACTCTTTCTCTACCTACATTACCCAAGAAGAGACAGCAATTGCGGTCATATGGCCAAGGTACAATTGTTATGTGCCGTGGAGTCGGTTTTGACTCATAGCGACCCTGTACAGGGGTTCCAAGGCTGTAAATCTTTATGGGAACAGAAAGCCTCATCTTTCTCCCGCGGAACAGCTGGTAGTTTAGAACTGCTGACCACTATGCTACCAGAGCTCAATTACACCCAATAAATCCCACCATCCAGGCAAGAGACGATACCAGCTGCTATACACCAGATACACAGCCAACATCTACTATAGTTACTCTGAGTTGAGTAATAGTAAAAGTGGAAAGGGAAGCACATCTCCTGGTCACATCTACCTGGAGGGAAATCAGAAAGCTTAATAATACATCCAACATACATTCATCTAATTATTGAAAATGCCCATGAAACATCTGAGGGTATCAGCACATGTCCAGAAACAAGATAGAGTAAAACAAATGAGCTGGAGGTAGACGTAAACTTCTCATTGGAAGGAGGGCAAGCTTTGGAACTGCCTGAGAAGGAATTCAGGAGAATGGTATTGAGGTGCATCCAAATGCTCTACAGATGGTTGCAAAAATTGAGGAAGGAGTCAGGAAAGCACTCCAGGAACAATCAACTAAGGTAGAAATAGCACTGGAAACCATTCAAAACCTGCAAAAAGAGGTCCAAATGATTAATAGAATATCAGAAATGGACAATACACAGAAAGGAGAAAGGATGGAAGCCAGAACAAACAAGCTGAAAGACAAACCTGTCAATACTGCAAAAATAGGAGAGCAAGCAGAAAAAAGGGATAAAAATCTGAAGAAAGTCTAAGATTCATGTGGGACAACAGGAAGAGGAATGAATTGAAGATAACTGGAATTCCAGACCAGGAAGAATCACAGAAGACCACAGAGAAGGTAATTGAAGAGCTGCTGGAAGAAAATTTCCCCAACAAACCGAAAAACAAAAAGATAAGCATTCATGAAGCTGAATGAACCCCAGAATGGATAGACCCCAAAAGAAAATCACCAAGATATAATCAAGCTCTCCAAAATCAAAGATTAGGAGAGAATCCTAAAAGCAGCTAGGGAAAAGAGAAGTGTTACTTAT